AAAAAAACGTTGAAACGTATTCTGCGAAACGGTTATGCAGGACTGTACGATACGGATATCGGTTTCTATTAGGAGCAAATGCCAAAACCGATATTCGTTTTGTAAGCTACGGATTTTTTTTAGAGAGCAGAATACAGTAACATTTACGTCTTTATGCAAGAAATCCCGATCTTTCAACAATTTGTTCGTTATCTTATCCGTATATTTCTCTTTCGCGATTTTCTTATTTTTCTTTTATCCGTTATTTATTATCATTATCAGTTATCATTTTCACCTCGTATTGTTTCCCTCTTTTTTCGTTTCTGTTCTGTTTTTTTATTATTTTCTGTTTTATTTTTTACAGTAATAAGTTTTTACATTAAAAATTACATGATTTATCAACATTGCTTTGACAGATTGTGTACAAATAGAGTCGCAAGAAACAGCATCATCGTCATAATTTAGTAGGATAGCAGGTTCTACCATCGTAACTGACTGATCCGCATCCGCGGCACTTTGCACTGCAAACGCATCGTTGCCTTCTTCATTTATGCAAGCATTCCGTTTTTGTTCTTTTTCTTCGGCAATCTGACGTTGCCATTTCTTGTTCAATTGGATCAGTTCAGTAGTAACTTGAATAAGGAACTGCCGATCACAAATTAGTTCGTCATTGAATCGCTTAGTATATTTCAGCAATTTAGATCGATCGAGAACGGAATCTGAAGACGTAGGAAATAAAATATCTTCTCTATTAATGGAAATATCTTACTGTGAATATGGATGAACCGGTTGGCTTGGTCAACTGCTTGCAATGTCTTTTGAAAATACTTTTCTTCCGACTTCATTCCTGGTCGTTCAATTTGCGTGAGTTCATCCATTTCGATACTGGCCAGAACGTCCAAGATTTCTTCTTGCTCTTCGTCACTTTCGTTGTTCATCTCATTCGAGTGAGTCTGCTGATAGATGATTTCTGTTTGCATGGTTTCAATTACTTGTTGCAAGTGTTCATCTCGATCCTTCTTACCTTCGTGCAATAACTGAATATTCTCGACGAATTTCCGCGATTCAGGCAAGATGTTTGATTGACGACTTTCAAAAGGTTGCTTCCAAGTTTGATTAAGGTCACAAATATCGAACATCGATCGCCAAGGGACAAATAGAGCGAGAGTAGATCGATAATAACGTTCTTGGGTCTCTTCACGGTCATGACGAGGTATAGGCGGACCGAGTACGACTGGAACGATTGGTGACGTCCGTTTTATATTGATGTGCGACGATGCCTGAGGATGTCCACTTAGTAAACACTCTCGTTCAACTGGTGGTCGGCCACGATTTGGATGTTCTCGTTCATTTTGTTTTGCTGTTGTTTGTGCTTCGAACTGTTTTCGATCGTTGGCATCGATGAGCTTTTTGCGATAAAAACGTACGTAATCGTACAAAGAGATATTCTCAAGCACCGATTAACGATATTGATAGTCGATTCGGCTGTTGACAAATACATATCTCGTTGCAGATTCACTTGGCTGTAAAAGAAACTGCTCTTCGGCATCGAGGAGGATTTCCTCGTCATTGTCTGGTACATCGGATGTTTCTAAAAAGTGAAGTGTTATCTCAGTGTAATGAAAACAATGCTTCATGTTACCCATCGATTGTCTCTGCTCATTCGACCGTTCCTTGAGCAAGGCTGCTTGTAAATAATGCTCGATACTGATGAGATGGATGTTGACAAACTCGTGAGTAGTACAGTGATCAGGCCAGCCCATCAGATAAGAAGCTACCTGCATACTTGAGAGTTCTTGTTGGGAGGCGAGCGTATTATAACAGCGAAGAACGAGTCGGCGAGATTTCTCCTCGGCACTCATGCAACCGAGACTAGCAAGTTGCGATTTTTCCATAGATTAACAGCTTTGAGAACGAGCGAAAACGTGTCATGAAATGATAGATTGGTTTTTGTCACGTAATCTGTAATGTAATACACGAGCGCCTTCGCATCATTACCATTGTATATAAACTTGATGTCCATATTCGAACGACATGCGCTAATAATATATTCATTGAAATTGTTGATGGTGGAATGTAATCGTTTTAATTTGATCACGCCTGAATCGACGTTGATAGATGATTGCTCTATGATTTGCCGTGGCATGCGCATCCGACAAGTGGGATTATCGCGTATCTTTGAGTATTTGTAACAGGTCGCAGAGTGCTTGTGAATATTACTACTATTGACTAACTGAACGATATCTTCTGCGAAACGTCGTTTGTAGTTTGGCAACGACGGACTAGGTGTTGGCATAATCGCTGGTGGTTGCTTCTCTAAATCTTGATGTAATTGTTCCATATCTACGAGCTTTTTTTGTTTATTTATTATACATCGAACCAATTTCCTATCATACCTATCATGGACACTTCTGGAACTTCGTCGTTAGACACTGAAAGCTCGTGATAGCTGTATTCTTCAGATACGTCTGATCGGGTATCACTTTCTAGAAAAAACACTGCAATAATCTGTGGTTCATATACAAGAAATTGATTCAAACCATCGTCAATAGATCTTGCCATTTGTTCATCGATCGGGAAGTCTTCTTGTTGGCCATTTCTACCTCGCGTCATCGATCTTGGATGCTCAGCGTCGAAAAGAAGATAGAAAATCATTCATTCCGAAACAAATAAACCTTGAATATATCTACCCTTCTGGTTTGCTACATCGGAAGTAAATTTGCTGAGATCTTGAATAATGTTGGATATAAACCAGGCAATAGTTCAGGATTTGAAAAATCATTCGCCGGTTGTTTTGAACGTGGAATCATGTAAACGACTTCGTCGTCTTCGGGCACTTCTTCGGATGTGTCCATAGAGGTAATTTGGCTGACTGCATCACCTTTGATCTTTCTCAGAAGATGACCATTAATATCTTCAGAAGTCACAGTGGTCCCGTTGACATCGATCACAGCACTACAAAGTGTTTTCAAACATTCAAATTATTTTTAAAATCTTGTAATTACCTTGTACTCATGGGAATGTTTTCAGTTTCACCGTGTTCGCTCCGTTCAGCGGCAGCTGTCAATGGATCAGCGACAAATCCAGCTCGCTCTGCTTCAGCTTCAGCGACATCAGCCAATCTTTCCATCGTTGACCAGATACATTCTGGAACGTCATTTTCAGGGAGCTTATTGATATTAGCTTCATCAACTGCAAAAAATAGTTCGTGTATTTTCATCAGACTAAAATTCTCAATATCTTACTCGGAATCGTACGGTACAGGTGATTATGCTTCTTCAACCATAAGAGAGCATTTCGCACTTTTTGCCGACTAACACCACATACTTTTCGTAAGTGTTCCCTATTTGGAACATGTGCACCGATAAAGATGATTTTAAGTGTGTCGCAAAGCTCGTCCACGTTTAGAGGTAGGCTGGCGACGATATTTGGCATGTTTTGCATGAATGTGATTACATTTCCCTTAAGGGCACTTTGAGCTGTGGAATGGTGATGAAAAGGTGAATTTAATTTGATCACGGAACTGTTGTGTCGGTACAAAGAAATTCTAGTGTGAGAAATGGGTTTTCATACTTCATGTGCTGGAACAGAAAGAACGTGTACTCACAATTTCTCCTTGGCGATCGTCAACTGCTGAAGTACTAATCTAAACTTTTTTATTTTCCCAACAAATCGAGCTAGCTCATTACATGTTGGTTGAAGTTGAACAAATGTAAAAAAATGCTGAAGTACTGGTGGTATATCACCAACCCATGCTTTGTTAGCTTTAGAAAAGGCGGTACTTTATCTCTAGTCAATGCAGCATAGCATTGGTGACACATATTACACTTTTCGTTTGTGGTGCTGCAACCTTTCTTGTACAGAATCATATTGGGTGTGTAGTAATAGGCTGAACTTGAGATAATATCTTAAATGAAAGAAATTTTCCCTTGGATTTAGGAAAATATAATGGACTACCTTGCGGAACATTTCCTGTGCCTGGAATAATACCAAGTAGATCAGGATGACAAATGAGTCTCGCTTGGTTGGGAATTTGATTCATATCGTATTCGTGTATAGAACCGACGAATGTTCTGATATTGCAAATAGCACACGCGGCCTGCTTTAACATCGACATGGATGTCTGGTTGACGAAATCTTGAAGACATTGATCTTTCTGTTGAGTTGGAATTGCTCTTGGCCAGTTGAGACGATCGGGTTTTGCTCGACTCTGGTTTTCCAATGAACGATGTCGACGTCGCACGCTGACACTTCGAATGCGTTCCTGTGTCTTCTCAGAGCTCTCTGTGGCACGAGTCTCTTGTGCGCGTAATCGATCTTCGGTCAAGCGTTTACTTCTCTGATTCTCGTCTTCGTTTTGTTGTGTTTCTTCTTTTTGTTGTCGATCACGGGCAAGACGTGTGTTGCGTTGCAGTTCATCTTCGTTTTGCCGCGTTGTTTCTTTTTGTTGTCGATCATCGGCAAGCTGTATGCTATATTGTATCTCGTCTTCATTTTGTCTAGCCGCTACTTTGCGCAGACGATCGTTCATGAGACGCGCGGACCTTTGTTGTTCACTCTCTTCAGTTCGTTCTCGACGCTTTCTTTCGGCAGAAAAGCTTCTTATAGCCAATGGAGGCTCAACTGAAGATGAGGGTGATGTTGCACTGGTGGTAGTAAATCTTTGAGCTGGAGGCGGTGGTGAAAAACTTGGAACTCGCTCAAAGGTTTCCTGATTGTTTTTCGTTATTGCCTTCTTTGAACTCTAAATATCATAATCATACACATGCACACTAAAGGCTCATCTGAAAGTAGGGAGTGTACCTCTAGAATCGATGAAAATTCGTTTGCTGGTGATGATTGAAAGCGTTGTTGCGGTTGAACCAACGGCACAAAATGATTCGGACTCCAGATGCCACCACTGTTAGGACGAGCCTTCGCCGGCAATTCATCACGAGTATTAGTCCAAAAAATGAACAATCGGCCGCGAATGGGTATAGAAGTCTGTACTGGCTTGTAAGGACTATTCATAATCTTCATTTCGGCACGGTAATCGATATAAGGATAAATACTGTGTATCTCACAATGAGTAACGCTAGCCAGTGCCGCACGCTCGTACAACTCTGAGAATTCGTAGTTATTGCACACTCGACGAATTGCAGTATCTAGAGGACCAATAAGGCTGCTGTATTTATCGGCATACTGGATTTTGTTTTTGACGAGTTCGACCACTGTTCGGACTTCAAAAAGAAAGTTTATTTTAATGCGTGAATCAATCTTCAACTATATGGAAAATCTAGCATACCTCTGAGTTCAACAGCCGACAGACCAGAGTTCGGAAGAAGAAATACAATAGAATGGTAGAAACAATTTCCATCTTCCAAAGTTTGGATCGGGATTAAATGGTGCACACCTTTGCTGGCTTTCACAAGATATTGTTGTGCTACATTGTCAATGTGGTGTTTTGTTCCATCGAATTCGACGAGTGGAGTCGATTGGAATGGGGCCATGAGCTGTTGGTACTAACAGAACCTTATAACTGTTATTTATCACAGCAACATTAAAGAAGTACTCACAGGCACTGTGCTAATGGTATTCACCACTGCTGCTATCTGGCTTGCATAATCGGGCGCTTTCGATGCCACTGTAAGCCAATCAAGAATCTGCTTGAATTTTTGTCCACGCTGGCAATTTCCACTACTACACAGCTGATCATCACAGTTAGACGAGCCTCTTGGACATGCTTGATCGATACCAAAATTCGACATTGATATGGTAAGAATATCTACAAAATAAAAAATGTATGATCGATGTATGATTGACAGAGTTTAACGTTATAGTTCATCACGAGAGGAGCAAAAGAATTATGCGAAGAGTTTCGTTCGACGTGAACCTATTGTATCATAGATTGAATGAATGATGAGAAATGATGAATTAGAAAAAAGCGATTCATATTTTTGTACTGCAGATCACGGCCGATCGCGTGGCACAAGAATTAGAGCTCCGCTTCTTAACACAAAACACATTTCCTAATTCAGTTTTCAATGCTAAGTCCGCAAAAAAACGTTTGGAAGCTTTAAAATACAAAGGAGAAAGAATATTCAACTTTTTCGAAACACAAAAATTTTTCCCGATGTTCGGACCTCAGAGTATTTCGAATTTCTCTCCGTGAAAATGTGCACTGAGAAGGCAAAAAAGGTAATATTTCTGATCAGCGTGAAATTCTCCATCGACTGATGTATAAGAAAATAAAAAATAAAAATGTGCTGAACTTCTAAATTAGCGTTACTTATAAGATATGTATCGCTCGAAAATCGATGTAGCTTGTTTTCCTTTTGAAGGTTTTACAGAGATATATCTGTTATGCATTTGTACATGGGACCTCCCTTGATGGGCAGGTTGGCCTACTGTTCGTAGATAGGTCCGCCACATGTTTCCATTTCTCACATCACGCAATAGTTAATTCTTCCTTCTAAGCCAAAAGGAGTAGGCTGACTTTTCTATTCAAGACCTTTCACAAGCAGTTTCGGTCCATGAGAGTTATTGTTTTTTACTGACTTCTGGGTACT